CTGGTAATCTGATGTGAAAGGGAGTCTTTGTTTTCATTGGGAAGATACGGGAGGAGCTGGCACCTGTTTCAGCAAAACGTTGCAGAAAATTATCGCTGTCGTTTTATCCTGAGAGCGGGCAATTACAAATGACAGTGTTTGTCTTTCTCCTCTTGGAACCCAATTTCTAAACCATCGTTTTTTTGTGTCTCCGTCTGTTTTTGGTGATGGCCTGTCAAATTATTTTTTTTTCCATTCTTCTTCGTTCCTGAGCAATTTTCTACGGATGATTCCCGACTCTGGTCATCAACTTGATTATAAATAATGTGTTTCTGAGAAATGAAAAAGGTCGGCGCTGCTTTAGCCTTAATCCAGATGTTCTCTTGCACTGTTGGCAAAAACATGTACGTCAACAGTGAAACCTCAAAGATTTCATAACAGCACAACCTGTTTTTCAAATTATGCTTTTGTTCATTTACATTTCCTGTTGGCCACAAATGAACGCTTTTGTTTTATGAATAGCTCTTCTTCTGGGAATGGAACAATACAATCAGTACAACAACATCAACGCGAGCTTCATGCTTAAATAATAGAGTGATGCAGAGACAGGGGCGGTTCTAGGGGGGCAGGGGGGGCCAGTGCCCCCCTAACACTGATCTCTGACCCCCCCTAACAATGAAACGTATTATTATTTTTTTTTTAAATGTATATTCTCTTGTACTCGGTTTGCCAAAAACCGCAGGATTTTGTTGCTGTAATGTGGGATTGTGCAGACACCCTTATGTAAAGTAGAGATGTAACTGTTCATTGCCTTTATTTTTATATAAATATGGTGCTAGTGCAAACATTGCACTATAACTTAAGCTGAAGCTAACAGTAATAACTATAAGATCTTTCTGAAATAAATAAGTGTACTGAAACAAATACCAATAACTGGATTGCATTGTTTTCTTATGCGCAATTACTTCATACTGTCTAGTTCTCTTTTTCGTCCTGCATTTATTGTGCCCCCCTCAGAAAATAACTGGCCCCCCAGTGGCCCCCCCAGTCAAATTGGTCTAGAACCGCCACTGTGCAGAGATGACGTATTTTTGTAGGCCTACCCGGAAGATAGCATGGCACGGGGTCCCTTGACAAAAAGCAATACTATTTCCCAATTTGATTTTGAAATATTGCAGGAAATAAGATCTGTGGCCAACACACAGATACTATCACATTTCCATTTCAGCAGGGTTATCTCCCCATATTACCACCACTTTAAGATCTTTAAAGGATAATTGCAGTCGGCACCAGTAAAAAGTTATGGTAAAAAACGAACTACATTACTACGACAATAGTCCGCTGTTAGCTTAGCGGTGGTCACATGGCTTCATGCGACCATAGCTAACAGCGGACTATTGTCGTTGTGATGACGTTTAGCAGTCTCACTTGTCAGCAACCACCGTTTTAATGATACATAAAAGCTTCGAGGATTCGTATTTACTGATGTATTTTATGTCATAAAACAAGACTATAACAATACTAGACAATGTTAATGTGTTGTTATGTTATGAAAGGTTTGTTATTGCCCTTCACAACAAAATGGAGTTAAGAAAATAGGTTTTCTAAAGTCTGCTTTGATTTTACACTCAAGTATTTCTTCTAATATCACTCTTTCGTCACATGCTGCTGCTGATGCAACGCTAATGTAGGCTAGCAGCAATTCAGAACAGCTATTTTGGGTTATGTTGCTTTTCTATGAGCAATAATTTGATATTATCATTGACATTAATGTTTTAGGTAGCATGTTTTTCTTCACACAGTCAACCCAGTATTATTCTCACAGTGTAAAGACTTTAGTAAAACACATTAGTCATTTTCATAGATTGCCTTCAGTATTAATTTGTATTAAGCAGTAATGGTTATAATGCTATATGACTTTATGAAATACTGATAAACAGTGTATGAGAAGAAAATGTCTGACAAGGCCAAACTAGTGTGACTCTTGACAGTGGACCGAGTAGTAATTGGTATGAAATTTGACAATCAGACGGCTGAAAGCTTGGCAGAATGTCGGATAATTCACCAAAACTGGCTATTATAAATGGTACCGAAAGCCAAATATGGAGCAGACAGCGGCTGACGGCTCACAAACAACATAACAACACTGCTGAGTTTCTATAAAAAACGCCTCAACAATGCTTGTTTTGTCTCTTCTTTTCCTTTTGGTAGTGTTGTTTAGTATCATAGTATCAAACTTTTATTAGATGTCAAAATGTGTGACACCATATAGCAACGTTACAAGTCTCAAGTCACTGGTAGAGCATGAAGGAAAACAAACCCTGCAAAGGAAACACTGAGAGCTTCCCCCCTACCTTACTTCCCTCTCTGCCCCCCCACAGTGATGCCAGGCAGCCGTATGTTGACTGACAGGCTGCTGCGTCTCTCTGTCGTGTCAACTAGCTAGCGCCCTCGGTTGCTTCTCGCTTCAATGAAGAGATAAAAGCCTATTGACTTGCCAGGCTACAGTTAATGCAAATTGGGCCTACTATCAATGTATTATTTATAGGGAGAGCCGCAGACATTTCCACAGAACTGGGAGCTAGGCTTACAGGAGATTAGGCATGCCATCTCATTCATTTACCAGGGAGTAATTGCTAAACTGTGGAGGAATTAGAAGGCGTGAGGTTCCCTGAAGGCATTTCATCTTGTAACCAGGTGGCTGCCATCAGACAACCAACCAAGTCTGCCATGAACAAATACACACAAGAGAAACTGATAAGGCCACATCTGTCAAATTGTGAAAATACTGGATGACATTACGGCTAAGATTAGTTGAAAATGATATTCCAGTTTTTTTTCTCCCATGTTTATATTTGAGACTTTTCTGTCTGCATTTCAGTTAAACACCCAATGGAAAACATTTGAAAATACTGGATGACATCACGGCTAAAATGAGTTTTATCAAGCACACCAAGTTAGCTGAAAATGCTAGTTCCAGTTTTGGTTTTTCATGTTTATATTTGAGACTTTTGAAGCGAAATCAAGTATGCATTTCAGTTCAACGCAAAAAATCCAATGGAAAAATAATTGAAGTTAGCAGCTACTATTTTGACTCACCTTCTTTGATAAGGTTACTTTGTTCAAACAAGCTGTCTGTTTCCAAAATGTTTAACTTGCATGTTCTTACATTACTACCCAGTAGATTAACCCTTAAACGGCAAAGCATTATTGGTGGCCTCTTTTCTACATTAACTCCATATTAAACTGTATACAGTATACACCCGTAATACAACATATTACACCCATGTTACACCAATAATATACCCATGTTACACTGTTACTAGACCCATACTGCCATCAGACAACCACCTCCAAGTCTGCCATCAACAAATACACACAAGAGAAACTGATAAGGCCACATCTGTCAAATTGTGAAAATACTGGATGACATCATGGCTAAGATTGGTTGAAAATGCTAGTTTTAGTTTTCCATGTTTGAGACTTTTCTGTCTGCATTTCAGTTAAATGTTAAACACCCAATGGAAAAAATGGAAACTGAACAAGTTAGCAGCTACTATTTTCAGTCACCTTCTTTGATAAGGTTAATTTGTTCAAAAAAGCTGTCTGTTTCCAAAATGTTGAACTAAAATAATTTTTCAAACAGCACAAAATCTTTTTACGTTACTATCTAGTAGATTAACCCTTAAATGGTAAAGCACATACACATATTTGGGGAAATTATCTGTGCCTGTTTTTCACATTAAAGGGGACCTATGATGCAAAATGCACTTTTTGATGTCTTTTATACATAAACATCTGTCCCCGGTGTGTCAGGGAACTCACGCAGCGTCATAATCTAAAACCCTCTCACTTTTCCTCCGTACCCAAATCTCTAAAAACGGTGCTACAACGGAGCTGATCCAGATTTGCGTCCGATATGACGTAATATCTGAAATGTGGACCCACGGCCCAATCAGAAACGTTGCTATCAGAAACAATGCCCGACTGTTTTGGACGTAATATGGTCGGTGTTTACATTAGCATCGCTAACACTCAGAGCTAACCTGTACTGGAGAGCATGTGTGTGAAGAAGCAGGAAGTAAAAAGGAACTCACCTTGTGGTATAACCGGCAAGAGAGAAAGCCTTTGAGCTCCAAACTGTTTCAGAGAGAATCCTTGATAATCCATGATATGGCGTTTCATCACGGCAGTATTTAGTTTAGACAGTAGCTGCCGGGTCCCGCATGAGCTCAGACCCCTCCTTTTTTTTTTTTTTAAGCTTTATACCCCAAATCAGCACTTTTGAAACAGGAAGTGAAATAGAGGGATATGAGGCATGGCTAGAATGGGTGATCTGTTTGGTATTTTGAGCAAAACACTTCATAGACATGTTTTTTATATATCTGATACCTACTGTATGCTATTGCCTAAAAATAGCATGATAGGTGACCTTTAACTCCATATAAACTGTTATTACACCTAAAATACACCCGTATTACACAACATTACACCCATGTTACACCAACGTTATACCAATGATATACCCTTGTTACACTGTTACTAGACCCATACCCATATTAAACTGTTATTAGACCCATATTACACCTATTCATGGACACAGCCTTTAAAATGACTGTATCCCGCAGGATATAGAAAACCATTTAGGAACAGGCAGATCGAGGTCAAAACATCCATTCATTTAGAAAACTCCAACTAGTAAGCATAAGATCTGGGATAGGGCGTATTAAGATACATTTAGACATACTGTGCTCCAAAAATAATCAATGCTTTGTGTTTTTACACCTCAAAACAGCAAACTAATACATAAAAACAGCTTCTTCCTTTTCTGCACTTTCTTTGTCACTTCCTCGCTCTGTAAGACGCAAATGATCAACAGTGTTTGGCCTCATCTTTCTTTCTTTTTGCCAACAACACACTTTGACTGTTTGCCTTCTTTAGTCGAGAGCTCGAATTTGTTATTCACAACTCTCAGCCACTTCATGTGGTGGGTGAATGAACAGAGGAGAAAGCAGTCTTACCTTGTCGTCAATGTCAATCTCGCTGTCACACTGTAACAGAAAAGAGACAGACACAGGAAATATAAGGAATTATTCATTTGGCTCCCCCCCCCCAGTAGCCCATCATCACTGCAGATGTTATTTTTGTGCTCAACCTCTCATTCCCTGACAGCTTTCAGTGCACACGGCAGAGGATAAAGAGGGACAGGAGAGAGTCTGAGAGAGTTTTTCAGCACAGAACGCCATTCTGCTGTGTCTGTAGCTAATTCAATGCTGTAACTTCACAAAAGATGAACAACAAATACAACTGGGTTGTTTTACGAAGAGCCCGTTCAAAGACTTTTCACTCCACTGCAGTTTAGCCTTTACAGTATATGCCCCGGCCACACGAGTACGAAAACGGTCGTTTGCGTTACTGTTTAGTGTCATATAGACCGTTCGGCCACACGAGGACGACCGAATACGGCACTAAACGACTGCGGAAACGATAACGGGTCCCAAGGTGGAAAGAACGGCATACGCAACGCTCTGGGGGTCCAACGGCTCCGTGTGTACGCCCTATACGATCATTTTCTGATAATAATTGCGCAATAGCCCCGCCTCTCCCCACCTCTGCCGCTCACCCCCGCGTCAAAGTAAACTGCACACTGAATTCAGATTATTTATCTTTCTCTCGATATGGACATAAACGCGAGTGAAGTCTAATCTGACAGGACAGAGACACCTCTCAAACTACCTAAACTAGTTAGAAATATGTTTATTTTTACTGTCGGCCGGGTCACTCATTACTGGATCAGCTGCTGCATGAGACAGACACTGACGCTGTCCGAAGAGAGGGAGGAAAAAGAGAGGCTCCGTGTATTTTATTATTATATTATATAGAGTCGTTATTCATTTGTTTTAAAGCTCAATAAATAACAAAGAAGACCTTTGACCGGCACTTTTATAATTTTAGTCGGAAGGTTTAAACTTTAATTCACGTTGACTGGCGAAAAACTCTGCCCGGTTCCCTCGGCCCCCACCGCGGAGAATAAACAGAAGGGCAACCATGACAACCATGCTTCTTCGCTGCTTTTGTGGAGGAAGTTACAGCGCCACGTACAGGCTCCTGCTATGTACTGCAGCTTCTCCAGCGGTTGGAGCTAAACGGAGCGGTCTCGTGTGGGCAGACACTATCCGGATAACTATTGCGTGTGGACGGAAGCTTGTTTGCGATTGCGTTTGCGTTAATCCTATGCGTTTAGCCGTTTTCGTCCTCGTGTGGCCGGGGCATAAGAGTTCTTTGAAATTGGACGATTATATCTCAAGGACACAGACAGGGTTTAGTTTATCTGAATACTCAAGCGCAGTGCTTATTAAGTTTGGTATTTTAAATGCATTTTTAAGTAAAATATCTACAGAGATAAATAAACTAAACACCAAGATAGTTTATACTCTGAAATGAGAGTTGTATAGCATGGTCAAAGGCCAAATGACCTTCTATTCAGTCAGAAAGTGAAATGAGTATTCTCCAACATTTCACAAGTAATTTGACTATTCAAACACTGTGATCAAGCTCAAATGTCTTAGGAAAATATGCATCCTTTACAAAAAGAGGGAAAAAGTCCTTGTAACTGACAGTGATATACTGCAGATACACACATTACAGCCTTTCATTTCTGCTTTTTGAGCCGAAAAACAATATTGGACTGATTGAGACACTATACACAACTTAGGTTCAGCCTCACAAGCTAAACAAGTTTTTCAAAGCTAGGTTGAGTTTACAACTATGTAAAAACTATGTTGAGAGGATTAAGAAAATCACAAACAATGAGTGAAATAGGGGGACAGAAATCCTGAAAATGTTTGATACAAATAAAAGTGAATTCAATAAACAATGTTTGTTTATACTCTATTCCACATGTGTCAAACTCAAGGCCTGGGGGCCAAATCAGGCCCGTGGTGGATTTAATTTCGGCCTGCAGGATAATTTCTAATAACTATTAGATCTGGCCCGCCGCTGGATCACGCACACCCTCACTCCATCCTGAGGGTTTCCTCCGCTCAGAGCCTGAGCCCAAACGTTGATGACCTTGCACCCAAGATGAGATGCCAAGTATCTGCTTGAACTAGCATCACAGAGCAGCACACTGAGTTCAATGGATGTTTCCTTCTGCACTTTCTCTCTCACGACAACAGGGCATGTCTGGTTTGTTCTTTGAGGGAAATAGTTTTGTTGAAGCTGTTGTTGGCCTGTGGAAAAATGTACTCATAAGAAATGAAGCTGCAGATAGAGCCATAAGAAATGAATGCAACGGATTATTTAATGTTGTTTTTAGAGGCAATCATTTAAGCTTTGTTAGTTCCAGGTTTAATATGTGCAATAAGTTCATTTCAATAAGTTCTGCAATAAACGTTGAACCAGTCCGGCCCTCGACGAGTACCCATTTTTTTATTTTGGCCCACTGTGTATTTGAGTTTGACCCCCCTGCTCTATTCTGTTTAGGTAATGTATTCTTTTAGCAAAAGATGGCAAACTGTTTTGATGGTTGAACAATAGTAGTAAATATGAATCTAATCGGTTGGTAACCGAAGGAAAAGTTTTGCGCATAAATGGAAAAATTAAATTCAAAATGGCCGACTTCCTTTTTTTTTTGCCAGTCCTGACAATACTGCAAAAAATAATTAACTCAAAATAGGAAATATATAATACAATAAAAATAAACTACTTTGTACTCCACTTCATTTTGCAAGGCAATATTTAACTTCTTAGTCAACTCCACTTATCTGACAGCTCAAGTTACTTTACAGATTCCCAAAATTAACTATTCAGAATACAAGTTAACAACTAAATATACATTATACACAGATATAAATACATGTTAGTACAGCTAATGTCACTTAATTATACAATCTGAGTACTTCTTCCACCACTGGGTTTTCATCAGACGATAACACACATGCTATCCTCAGTCAGTTGAGATACTTGAACTTTAATTCCTTGGTAAACATAACCACATTCTTAACTTAAACCCAACCCACATGCTTCCTTTTCCCACATTGATTTGTCGCTGAATGCTCTTGGCTGCTCACCCTCTCCCCGGAGACAATAGACAGTGAAGTTGAGGAAACGGGAGCTCTGGAGCTGCAGGCCGCTCCCACTGGACCTCACAGCAGGATGCATGAGGGAAGAGCAATTCAAGCGAACAGCCTCATAGAAAGGGAGAGGGCCCCCGGTGAAAAAACTGCCTTCAATCTGTCAATTAAGTCCCTGTGGCAACATATTTAAGTGGACCCTCTTTATTGAGTTTGACTCCCTTTCAGAGCCGGGCACAATGAGGAGGGAGCTGGGTCAATGGAGGCACAGCGGCCCCTTTGTTGCCAGTGCGGTGGGTCCAAATGTATAATTAAGTAACGAGAGTAATCAGTGCAAGGGCTCAGTGGCCAAGATCTCTCAGGAGAGGAAAGCAGAGGAGGGGGGGGGGGGGGGCTTCCTCACCCAGTGATTCATCCTCTGCAAAGACAAGGGATACAGCAGGAGTCCTTGCTGGCAGAAGCTTTAAGAGTAAAACATTGTGGCTCACCCCCTTAGGAGGGACTATTGTTGGGTGTCTATCTGCAGAATAACATGAAATGCCTCAGCTCCAATTGTTGAAGCATTCCTGAAGATAGAGCACCATCGTTACATACACCCGTTGCAGGATAAATACAGTAAAGTTCAATCTGAGGAGGTTCTACTTTCTGAATTATTTTCCCTCTATCAGTACATAGCATGTCTGTGAGCATAAAGAAAAGAAGTGTAAAAGCAAAAGAAGAATGCCTACTGAAAATGTCCCAGAGAAAATGCAAGAATGGCCGGACAATTGTACTGTTTATCAACATATGGTTGAAAGTGTGGTCTCTTCTATGAGATAAATACGGGAAATAGAGCACAAAATATGTTTGTATGTTGTTTGTTAAGCTGCTCTAAAATAAAGGAGATTGTAGGCGCTGAATACTGATAAGAAAATGCATCCACATGCACTGGATATGGGAACATGTTTTTTTCTTTCGTAATATTTGGAAACCCTCATTCTGAGCTTCTGCTTGTCAAAAGACTTTCATTATAGAGTGCAGGGCATTACGAAGAGAAAGTGGCTTAGGTTTCTTGTCAATCAATTCCCCTTTCAGACTACAGATTCCAGACAAATTAATTGTCAGCCATTTCTATAGTGGTTGGTTGTTAGAGGAGCATCGTAACCTATAATCACCTCCCACTTGTTCACCACTCTAGTGAACAAGTGAAAGACATTCAACACACGGTTTCTCCCCATTTTGATCCATGTAGGAATTACAATAAAAGGACAATTGATCCAATCTCCACCTCGCCCTGGGAGACCGGTGTAAATGTAATCTTAGCATGCAGCTGGACACATGACAGTTTCTAGTTCCTCTCCATCACTGGGACAGTTTAAACCCCAGGTTATGGAGAGGAACAACTGGCTCGGTCTATTCCCTGGACGCTTGCATGGCCTTGTTGTTGCAGCAGTATAGCCATGACACAGGAGAAGAGGCCTCACAAGGCTGGAGCTGGCGAGGAGGAAAAATAAAATCAAAAGAGCACAGCATGGTGCTTATCCTTTTTACAAGAAGCATGCACTGCAGCGGAGCGTAACGAGGAATACTATCCAGGGCTCAGACAGAGAGAGACACAGCGCAGCAGGGGAGACAGAGGCAGGTGGAGAGGGGGAACAAAACAACAGTAAGAACAGGCGGGGGGGGAAAAGGCTATAATGACGAGATGGATGGATGCATGGAGGAAGTGTTAGGGCAGTTTTTGTCAGTGTGTGATTGCCCTGTTGGGCTATTACACTTGGTTTTAGTCAAAGACACGAATACAATAAACCTGAGAAAGTGAAAGACTGGCTGCTGTTTGTGAGTGTGAGAAAGGGCCACGTCTTTTAGCATCCCAAGCTCCTTTGAATATCTACACTGTAGTCTAGATGCCAGCACTGTGACGACCATGAGTAGTGTTGCGACCATTGGATATGGAGAGCACAAAAGGTATTTTAGTTTTCAAATAAATAAGCAAT